TCCCACAACACAAGATACTGAACAAACTTGCCTGGTCTAATAACAGATTTACATTTTGTACATCTCGGAATCTTGTCATCATTTACTATTTCTGGAAATAAAATGAAAAAATAAAAACTATTATTATACTTGTTAATGAGAGGTGTTTTTGTATTAGTAGTCCTTATGAATTTTTCGGTTAAACTTTGCAATCAGGACTATTCACAAGAATTGTGCTGTGGCTCTACTCACTTTTGACCCATTCCAAAGTATAAGATGTTTTACAATCTTCTCCAAGACAATGCCAGGATGCAAATGACCCATGTGCCAGGACTGTCTTATCTTCTGGTATTCCTGCTCTTGTGTCTAACGTGTCAATGTTCTGAAAATATCAAACAGTTACTTTGGGGAGTCTGAGTTGAATTCTGAATCTACTCAGCATATGTGCAATGCATCATGGGATTCCCTTACAATCTCACTTGAATTTTCTAAAATTCCCAAGAATCAAAATAATAATATGTAAGTATTCCAACTCATATCCCCAGATCAGATTAAATAGTTTCACTATAGAAACCAATGTATAAACAAATTAAAATTCGGTTAAAAGAAAAATTTAGCCATTTTTGCATAACATTTTTTGATGACTTAATTAATGACGAATTAATTAAGGTTTAATTTTCATTTTTCCACCTTTTTCCACCTGTAACTATAAACTACACAAGCAATACATCTATAAATCACATTATTGGCAGGAGTGAGAATAATATAAAAACATAATTCTCTCAACATACCTGAGTGTAATGTCTCAGTAACAATCCTTTATCTGCTAGCATCTTGATAAAATAATGTGCTGGTGTTGGTTGATATTCACCAACTTTCATATAGAAATCACGCACCCGAATTTTGAAAAAAGGTTCTGGGTTTTTCTGTGTGTGATTCAAAAAGAAAAACTTACTATTATGGCACATGGTTTAAACCGTTTAATTTTTTCTGCTTGGAATTTTTGTAATTTAATGATTTTATAGCATTCTTGAGAACAAAATTTATTGACACTCGGTGAACTCCTTGCATGTCTCAACAAAAATGCTCGAATCAAATTATATTTTTCAAACTACCTTCTAAACATCAATGTCAAACTAGTTTTCTAACGAAATTGTATTTTATATATTACCTTAAAATAATCTATGGAGAATAAACTGCTGGGTGATGGTAGATTATACTCTTTCAAATTATCATACAAACCAGTATTTTTACTTCGGAAATCAGGAATGCCAGCAGCTACAGCGAAACGTTTAAGTTTATTATTCCTTAAAGGTCACTGGGTCAATAGCTACATTCATGTGTGTGACGTTTTTTGGAACTATTTTATTGCATGCATCAGACTACATAATTTTGTAATGGTGTTATATGTCACCTGATCACCCGAGTGTATTGATATGTAAAAAGTAGTGCTGTTGGTGTAACTGTAAATTGCGGAATAAACAAGAAGTTAAACTTGAAAGCTCTCTGGTTTCTTTGATGTTTTGTGTGTTCCTGAGCCAGCACATCACAATGTGGAATACCTCCACACCACAACCAAATTGGTGCACCATGTAAACACAATGAAATGATTATCCCCCCAAATCCGGTGATATCGTGCTGCGGGATGCATTTAATTAATTCAGATTAAAAATGCAAGATTTTTTATTCTTGATTGAAGGTATACTCACATGTTGATATGCCAGCACCTACCATTGTGATGATGTTACGACCTGTTACAGGTAAAATACTATAATATTATCTTAAGAATATGTAAGTATGCACAAAGGTAGTTCTCTAAACACATCGACTGATGCGTAACAGAGGTCAATGCATTTCTGTACTGCCTGAGTGCACATTTTGCGGTATTCTCATGATAACCTTATTACTATACATATTATTCTTGCTTGTAGAAATAATGTAATGAGATATAACAGCTCGAAGTGGCAAAGAAAAAAATTTGAGTTCTTTGATCTGTGTCTGATGTAAACATAAGAATGTGTTTATTGTGACATAAACGTGACATAAATTTTGAAATATTGAACACTTTTAAACATTGTTTACATTATTCATAAGCTCATACATGGAGGTCTTTTTTTACCTCTGTGGTTCAGATTAGAACAGCCTGCAATACAGAAATAACACATAAAATGCAATACATAAAATTACTGCAGACAGAATTACAACACATAAAATTACAGTACACCAACTTACAACACCCAGAATTACAACACACATCATTACAACACACGGAAATACAACACCGTAACACAGAATTACAACACAGAAATAAAAGACACAAATACATTACACACAGAAATACAACAACAAAATTACAACACAATTAATACAACACACAAAACACTCATTTGTTACCTACATTTTCCATCATGAATGTACTTAGCTACTCCTTGAAGTGTGAGTTCATCCAACAATTGCTGAGTTTTTTCTGCTGGCTCATTTGGCCCTGCTACTAACTGTACCAACATATTAGCAACTCCTGCTTGTATCTGGGCCATTTTATTTTCCATTTCTTTCCCTGTAACAAAACAATGCCAATGTCCATTAACAAAGGGAGTAAGAAGTTAAAATAAAAATCTTCAACAATGTTCCTAGCAATATATTACTGTGATGTTCCAATAAAAGGGCTCTTATAATAACATAGCCCACGTACTTTACTACAACATAAACGAAGATTAATAATCACAAACATACATTTTCTTTCTACGTCAGCTGATGCATTCAATGCTTCATTTATAGCCTCCGAGTTGAGACCACCCGATGCAGAACTGCCTGATTTCCCATCATCCCCTCCTGCAGCTGTGTCACCGCCTTGCATAATCTATCAAACAACAAAGAAATACATAGATGTATTACTCATATGGAGGAAAATTTTGTATTTACAAATGACATAAAAAATGTTCACTGTCTATTGACTGTGTTATTGACCAATCACAGAAATGCTTGACAATCGCATAGTGTAGGTACAGAAAAATCTGAATTAGAAGCAGTATCTATTCTTTTTGAACACATGAGAACCATTTCTCAAATGTGTAGATTCTATTGTTGTATTGTATCACTACTGTGGGTATATTTATTGTACCGGGGTATTTATTATGTTAGTAAATTACCGGTACACAATGACCAGATCAAAAACTGTTCCTCTTCAATCCATTTGAAATTTGGGGATGGGAATTTTGTTTCTTTATTATTATTCTACTAAGATAATATTTTTGTTATTTTTTAACAACTGACTGCCTCTAAATACATTGTGTCTTTATCATTTTTTTCGATAGTTTGAAAAGTGTTTTCATAATGTGCATCAAGATTCCACATAATATCAATGGGTACCGCTTTAGTTCAGTGGCGGATCCAGAGGGGG